CTTGGGAATCAAACTCAGGTCCTCATGCTTGCACTGTAAGCCCTTTACTGACTGAGCATTTCCCCAGGCCTGTAGCAAAGTCACCTGTTCTGATAAGAAGCCTTTTCTTTGGGTTTAGAAGGAACTCACATGTACCTCAGAATTCACAGCCAGCAGGACTTCCCAAGTTTGTTCGGTGCCAAATTTTCTAAGAAAGATGTTTTGCTATAGTGCTGGGAACTCAGGCATTGTCAGGAAATCACATTTTGAAAGAGTTAATGGCAGGGGGAGGCAGGGATGGGGTTTGATGGGGGATGGCAAGATGGTTCAGTGGGTAAAGGTGCTTGCTGTCAATTCTTTGATTCCCAGGACTCACATGTGAAAGAACTGACTCTTACAAGCGGTCCTTTGACTTCCACATGCACACACCATGGCAGCCAGGTGTGATGATGCTTGCTCTTTCATCCTAGCACTCAGGAGGCAGAGGCAGGAGGATCTCTGAGGTGGGGGCCAGCCTCGGGTACAGGAGAGCCAGGGCTAGCCAGAGAAATCCTATTTCAAACAACAAAAGAAACAAAAGATAGCTCATCTGCATTTAGAAAGGGTAAATAAAACGATATCAAGTAGCATTTATTGGCTGTAAATCAGTGCTGGGGCAGCCACTTAGAAATGGCTATAGTATGGCTCCTCAGGTGGTGTGGCACACACACTTAATCACAACTACTTGGGACACTGAGGCAGGATTGAAGAAAGTTCAAGGCCAGCCTGGGCAACTTGGAGATCCTGTTTCAAAATTTAAAGGGCCAGGGGTTTGCTCTCTCTCTCTCTCTCTCTCTCTCTCTCTCTCTCTCTCTCTCTCTCTCTCTCTCGGTAAGTGCTTATCTAGAAGGTATAAGGGCCCTGGGTTTGAGCCCTAGTGGGAACACGAAACAAGGCTGGCTCCTGCTTCTGGGGGCAGAAGGGTGAAGACTGGATGACACCCACAAAATCACAGCACAGTGGCAAGTGCCACCACAGGGTGACACTCAAAATTAGATGGGATCACTCAAAGGGGTGTGAATTTTGGAGGCCCTTGTAGGGTAGAGTGTCAGGTAGTTATTTTTACAGAGCCTCAGAATGTAGAAAAGATGAATTTGGAAGGACAAAGCCTAGGAAGGGTGGTGGGAAAAAGAAGGAGCAGAGCACACCATCAATGTAAGGACCAAGGGAAGCTGAAGGGAAGCAACTAAGGTCAAGTGAGTTGGCTTGGAACCAGCAGGAGGAACTAGGGTGTCAGCTAGGGGAAGTAGGGTGTCAGGTGCCACTTGCATGGGAAGTGACAGGATCAGCACTGCTTAGCAGGAAGACACTTTGCAGTAGTCCACATTACATGTGGACTGGAGGCTCTTGGGAACACAGGAACCTTTCTGGGGCCCACTAATACAGGTTTGGTTAGTACCCACCTGGTGATAACCACACTGCTAATAAGCCTGTGACCTTTGACCTCCTCATTATATCAGCAGGCAATGGGTTTACTGGGATACTTTGAGCCCTTGGCTGAAAGTCACTGGATGATAGGTGACTCAGAGAGTGGGTCAGTGGGACACAAGCCACAGGATGTCTGGGCTGCAATCAGGCTTGTGTGTGCACATATGCTAGAATGCTAGAATGCATATGCTTGCCAAAGCCAGAGGTCAACCTCCCATGTTCTTTAGCAGCTGTCCACCTTGTTTTTTTCTTACTTTACATTTGTGTCAGAGGACCACTAACAACTTGCAGTTATTGCTTGGGCTCTCCTTCCTCTACAAGAACTGAATTCAACTCCTCAGACTTGGTGGCAAGTGCCTTTACCAACTGAGCCATCCATCCTTCTCTGGCCCCACCATGTTCCTTGAGGAAAGATAGACCCATTCAATTCCTGCATTGGGTTGTCTTCCGACAGTGGAGCTTGAGACTCACTGTGTAGACATGAAGCTGGCTTGTCAGCAAGCCCAGAGCTCCTGTCTCTGCATTCCCGGTGCTAGATTACAGACACACCACCATACCCAGCCTTTCCACTTAGGTTCTGGGGTCAAACTCGGGTCCTCAAGCTTGCACAGCAAGCACTTTCCTGACTGGAATACCTTCCCAGCCTAGGATAAGACTACTAAGCTAGCTGTTTTTTATTCTCTTCAAGTTAGTGTCTTGCCTTGCTTGCAAGGCTGACACAGGGTAGAGACCCAGTTCATACAGGATCTTTAGAACAGAGTGGGGCATTGTTGGTCCTGGCAAAAGGAGCGAGCTAGTGGTGGCTGAGCGGAAAGGGAAGGAACTGCTGAAGTCTTAATTCTTGGATGGCAGAGTTCAGCAAGCAATTTAAGGAGGACCCATTTCCACCCACTGCCTCAACACTGGGAGGATAATTCAGCTTAGGCCACACTGCCTAGTGTTGGAGCCTGGCTTCAGTACTCTGCTAAGTGTGGATCACCTTTACAAATTTGACCTTTTTTATGTTTCATTTTGGTGCTGGCTAGGCAAGTGATCTACCACTGATTCATGTCCCCATGTGTAGAAGAAGGGCTTAATGGAAAGCTTCCTTGAGGGAGATAATCCCTCCCCAACTGCATTTGTTATCTAGTTCTTTGCTGCTACCTGTGGTGGCCTGGAAGGCAATTCTACCTCATAATCCAAATGCTTTACACATATTAAGCATGGTAAGGGCTTGGAGCCAACTGTATGCTCTAAGGCCAAAGTGGTGATGGTATTCAGTGGGTTGATTAGCCATTAAGGGGGAAAAAAAAATTCAAGACCCAGGCATGGTGGCACATATCTGTAAAGTCAGCGTTAGGGAGCAAGTGGCTTTGAGAATTCAAGGCCAGCCTCAATCCTGAGGGACCATCAGCCTGTTTACAGAGCCAACATCCATCCATCATGACTGGAGTGCCCAGCAGTTGAGGGTCTTTTTTTTGTGAACCCTAATAAGTGAAATTTTATCACAGCATTGCTGACCCCAAATTAACAGGATGGGCAGTTCTGGAGGGAGCTTTTAGCTTCCATATATCAATATTAGTTGCAATATCTGGCAAGCCAGAGTCCTCTGGGGAGTAACTACTATCTTATTAGGTTATAAATACATTTAATAGCTTTGCTACTGGCTTCTTATTTTGGAGTATTGAGGGAGAAAAAAAAATAGAACTCATAATCAGTTGAGTCTAGGTGAAAAGTCACTATTTAAACTGTACATTTACCTATGGTATTGCTTCTGAATGCTTTCCCACACAGGACAATGACACCTTTGCTGCTATGTGCAAGGCTCAGCTGGCCAATCATCTGCTTGGAAGAAATTAAAGGTGTTCAAGATTTGAAGCTCAAATTGTTCCCTTTTGACTCAAAGAAAGCCCAAGGTGTCTCCCATGCTGCACTGACCTTTGTGATTTCTCAGAAAAAAAGGGTCAGCATGCCCACTTTCACTCAACTTCAAACAGATTTTTGTTTTGTTTTGCAGTGCTGAGCATGGAGCCCAGACCTGTCATGCTAAGAAAACGCTCTACCACTGAGAATGCACAAGCCTAGCAGGTTAAGAATGAGTGGATTTTTTCCTGCATTTATCTATATTAAGAACACATTTAAAGCTATTCACCACATAATCACTCTGAGTACAGCAGGTTTGAGCTTACCTCATTTCCAGTTGCTGACTGATCCCTGGGTCCACTGGGCTGTGTGAACCTTCTAGCCACCAGGCTATCTCGAGGAATGCTTCTGTGGCTTGGTGGGAAGCTATCCCTGAGCCAACTAGGAAGGAAGCTAAATAAACCCGCACAGGTGCTGTAGACTCCATCTGGGTAATGCCTTTCACATGCCACCTCCTTTGTTCCCATTTGTGCCACCCCATCTTCCCTTTGTGCTCACATGCTGCTGTCATTAGCCCTGTGGCCTCCACCCTGCTACCTGACTGCTGTAGTTCCTGCTGCACTGTCTACCAGGACCTCAAGGAAGGGGTGGCAAGAAGAGTTAAGGGGCTCATCATCTCATCATGACAGACATAGTGCTCTTTGCCTGTGGTCAGAATGGGCAGGCTTCACCTCAAAAAAAAAAAAAAAAAAAAAAAAAAAAAAGAGGCTAGATAGTCTTCTGGGGGTTCTACCCATCTAGAGAACGCTAAATGAGTCTAGGCAATCTGGAGCTGGCTTCAAAATCAGCGACGGGGTGGGGGCTCATCTCACAACAAACAGTGGCAACAGAAGGTTTGTGTGGGATGATGGTTAAGTTTGGTCTAAAACAAGCAGTGTCTCTGGTAATGAGCTGTTGTTAGGAAGTAAGTGGGGCCTCTGAAGAAGGCTGCTGCCTTTCCAGGGCTGGGCTTTTGGGGTGGGGGGGAAGCGATGCAGGAGGGAGGGCAGACCAAGGGGAAACAAGGTGTTGACAGAGGCACATGGGGACATCAAAGAGCAGAAAAGCCTGCCAGTGCATGTGGCAGCCACACTGTCCTGCTGCTCTGGAATCTTGGCACCACTGGATTGTGCTGTGCAACAGCTGTCTTGTGAAATAAGGGCACCTGAGGTATCAGCAGAGGTCCTGGTGAGAAATAGGCATAGGGTGAAGTACCTGAGGGCTGGAAAAAGGCAGGGACCAATCCTGAGCTTGAAATAACGAGAGGGTGTGGTGGTGCTAAGCCTCAGCTGTTTTAGAAGAGGAGCCTGGCCATTGCCAGCCTGCACCTAGAGGAGGCAGCCAAGTGTGAGTCTCTCAACCTCTCCATCGGTCCTCCCAGACTGAGCAACTCCAATGGCTCCTGACCAGAAGCCAAGGCAGAACCCAGAAGCAAGTCAGCCTCTTCCCAGGGGAAGGGGGGAGCCAGGAGGATATCCTGCAGAGTAAATGTTTTTCCCTGACTCTTCTGGCAGGTGGGTTTGGATGAAATAACCATCAGTACCCATTACTGAGACTAGTAACTCACTGATTTTGAGATCTGCCTATGCGGTCTTTACTTATTAAAAGGCGATGGCACAACTTTAATCTCAGGCTAAAAAGTCAGAAACAAAACACAAGAGAAAAAACACAACTTTGTACAAAATGGACAGGTAACATTTATTAAAACGTGTCATACAAAAGGGCATGGTCTCTTCTATAAGAAGAAAATATTAAACAGTAACATTCAGTTAAAACCACGCTGTACACCAAAGACAGCAATTCTAGAAAAAACTAACTTCTGCAACATAGGCAGTTCACAAAGTATCCATGATATGCACCTAATGACAATCTGTTTATCATCCCATGGTTCTGTGGCCTAAGAGTCACCTGACTTGCATAAATAAAGTCATTTTCTGGAAGAAACATTGGGAACCACATAAAAAGAAAGAAGGCAGCAGCCACTGACATAACACAGGCTTCAAGCAACACTTGAAAAAAAAAAAAAAATCACATTTGCAAAGGTGTTCCAGCATGTTCCCACAGGGCACTATCAGTAGAGATCTGCAATGACAAACTAGTACCTTTAAATATGTAAAATATCAGAGAGAAAGAGAGAAAATAAACCCAAAGCAAACCTGGATTCACTAGTCACCAAAGCAACCTAAATCACAGGAGGCCAAGGGCAACCCTGCCCCCGATGCCCAGCATCTCCAAACTATCAAGAGTTTAGCAAGCACTACCTCATGTGTGGGACAGGCAAAGCTTCGCTGCAACCTTGGGGACCCAGCTGCAGCACATGGTTTCCAGAATGCAGCCACAGCCTTTGTTCCTCACCTTCCCTTCCACACTGGCACACAGCATTCCCAGCAGCTAAAAGGGTCAGAGTAGTTCAGTAAAGGCCCCCTGCAATGGAGGGAATCCTCTAGGGCAGGCTCTGAAGAACCTGGCCAGAGAAGGGGAGCTCAGAATAACGGCACAAGGAGCCGGACCATGCAGCTCACTGACTTGTGCATCCAAGATTGAAGGTGTGGTGCATGCAGATTGTGAACTGCAACCAGTGGGGCTGGAAGCCCTTTCCTAGAAGGACTGAAGAAAAACCAGTCAAGGCTCAAAGTAGAGAACAAACACCTTGCTGGTGGGCCATTGATGAAGTCCCTGAACACTGGACAGTGCTGTCCCTACTATTCAAGCTCGTCCGGAAGGGCGGGGACTTCCTAAGGCAGTGAGGAAACCAGTACTATAGCAAAGCAGGGGGGCAGGAAGGCCCTCTAATGGGAAAGGTAGGTCAGGAACCTTGATTCAATGCCTAGAATCCAGTTACTCCTCTGCCTCTAAGACCTAGGACACCCCACCTATTCATGGGGTCTGCCACATTCCAGCTGAACAAAAGTTTTGTCATCATGCATGACAAGGGTACTGATTCAACACACGGATGTTGCCAGGGTGTTTTCTTTTTCCCTCAGATTCTTCTCCACAAGGGTCCTAGTTCTCATATGAATAGAGACTTCAATGGGCAATAGGCAGAAGGCAGGCAGTGAATAGGAGGTGGGCAGGGCAGGAATAGCTTCTAACTATAGATGGTTCAACTGCCTCAGGGTGGATATTACTAGCTTCACCCTCATACATCTTAGGGTCATCCCTAAACCCATTGGCCTCTCCCATGAGAAGACTAGGAGGCACATGTGAGTGTGGCTGTACAATCCCCTCCATGTGCATACACAGGACTGCTGCAGACTTCCACACTGGGAGATCATCTGAATGTGCCAAACCACCAGGAGGTATTATCTCGTTTCTAGGTAAAAACAAAACATAACAAAAACCCTACATCCATACTTATAATAATAAAATTTTAAATACAAAGTGCTTTTATATACCAAGATTGATACAGTGTTCATAAATAGATCCCTGTTTTACAATCTTGATCACAAGCATTTACTGGCTAAATGCGTGTCCCTATTTTCTTTCCATTTCCCAAACAAAGGTCACAGGTGAACTCTTGGTATCAGAAACCTCATGATCAGAAGCCCTTGCCAGAAATATCAAAGAAAAACTTTAAAAACAAAATTTCACCCCAAATCCAAGAAAAAAGAATTTTTATTTTAAGGAAAAAAGTTTCTACTTAGCAGTAAAAGACTGTGTAGGGAAAGGCGACACAGGAGCAACACCCTGTCCTACTGTCTAGCTAGAGATGACAATCTGACACAGCCTAGAGTCATCTGAGAAGGGAGTCTAAGTTGAAGGACTCCCAAATCAGACTGGCCTGTGGGTATGTCTGTGGCTGATAGTCTTGTCTTGACTGTCAATATTCAAGTTCCTGCTGTGATTTACCCCAGAATGGACTGTGACATGGTAGTGTAAACCAAGCCGAATAAACCCTACCCCCTGAGCTACTGTTGGTCAGAATGTTATCCCAGGGAAGAAAAGCAGACAGACACTCACCCCAGGAAGAGCCTCAGGCCTGTCACGTGCTTAAAAAGGCTCTCTGAATGCAAGACTTCTTTACAACCTAAAATATTCACTCTAGGGAGAGGAGGCCTTGAAGGGCGGGGTGGCCTTCCTTCCCTTAGTGGGTGTAAACTACTGGGACTTATAAATGTGTGCAGCTTTCTCTGTGACCGAGGAACAGAAATCTGTAGATGATGTTGCTTAATGAAGGACTCTTCACACTCTGAATGCAGGTCTCATACAGAGCTGACAGTACCGCTCAGTGTCCCTCTAAAACAGCATTCCCCACACCAGTGTATTTTTGAGACCTTTCTCAAGTATAGCTTTCTGTTTTTATAAGTTACTGTCTCTGCTGAGTATGGGAGTGTCCCACTCACAGATAAGTCTTAGCCATGCATTCTGGCTAGGTCCCATGAACTGTGATCCCTGGCTGACCCTTGTTAGGAAGCACCATGATCTAAGGCAGTAGGGCCACAAGACACTGCCAGTACTGTGATCAGTCACTGCAGGTTGGATGTCTAGTCCAGCTGTTACCATTAAATAAGGGAAGCGTAGGGTAACAAATTAACTAGAAACACCTACCTCTGGCACCCACAGACTTAAAAGGAGACACAATGGTTCAAACCCAATTAAAACTAAACACAAAACCGTGCTTTGTCAAGAGTCTGAAGCACTCTAACAGGAGCCAAGTCATCTGCTTTGGACTCAGGTCGACTGAGCGTTGCCACAGTTTCAGCTAGAACCTTAGAAAGCATGAAACTAGACATGGAAGAGCTCTGTTCACATCTCAGCCCAGGAGTCAGGCTGGTGTAGCCTTGAGAAGAGTAGCATCCAGTGATGCGCTACCAAAGCAAAGCCCCAGAACCCCTGCATCCACCAGGGGAAAATAAAATGCAACACATCTCAGGGCACTGCGTGATAGACAACTGCTTCCACCTGAGTGAACTGGTGGGTTAGTCGGCCACTATGTCCAACGCCTCAGTCACTGCTGGCTGGAAGGGCTATCTTGCCAGCTGGGCACTGGGTGAACTTATTCCTACCATCCATTCTAGGCCAGGACCAGAACATACAAATTTGAGGGATTAAATTTTTTAATTGGCCTACTTAGAGCTGGTCTTTCAGAAATATCTTCCTTTTTTTCTTTTTAAGCTTCTCTCATAATAGCAAGTGGCACGCATCATCTGTGCCCAGATTTGCATTAATTACCATAGTTTATTTTTGTGCATGCCACTCAAGGGCCAGAACCTATTTTTAGTTAGCCTCAGTTGTATTCTGCTCAGCCTTTGCAGCTTCATAGGACTTGGTACAAGAAGTCACATGCCTGTGGAAACTGTCCCTCCACATAAATCTCTTTGCACAGATATTACACTCATAGGGCTTTATGCCTGTATGAATTTTCATGTGGCCCACGAGATGGTGCTTCATTTTGAATTTCTTACCACAGACACCACAGCCATAAGGGCGAAGACCGAGGTGCATGCTCATGTGTCGATCTCGCTGACTCTTGTGTGTGAAACTTTTCCCACACTGACAAGGATACAGCTTGTCAGTGGCTGAGAATCCTAAGTGGGACGCCTCTTCTTTTATCCCCGTCACCATTTCAATATTCTCACTGTAGCCTGCTGCAAGGGCAGCCTCTTGTCTGTGTCCAATTAGATTCCCATCCAACCTTTCTCCAGAAAACTCTTCCATGGAGGAGCCATAGAAGTCCACCTGCTCATCATAGTTGCTCTCCTCTGCTTGCTCATCAAACTCTGCTTCCACTTTCTTCTCCACAATTTGGAAGTCCTCCTCCACCCCTGAAGGCTGGACCAAGTGCTCTGTCTGCATGGTGTTAATGGACTCAGTGACCTGGTGCTCATCGTAGGCCGCATGCACATCCATGCCCTCACACGTCTGTTCCAGGCGCTCAGGCTTCACATGGATCCAGCGTTTGTGAGCCATTATGCTGGGCTTGCTGTAGAGAGGCCGGGTGTAGTGGAATTCAGCACTGTCGCTGGCCCCCTCCTCCCCATCCTGGCTCGCCATCTCGGTGCTCAGTCGGTCATGCTCTGTGGATGAGTTACTGGGCAAGTACTCGTGCTCAGTGAGCTGAGATGACAGCTCATCTTTGGTGCTCTCCTCTTCATTCTCACCATCCCTCAGTTCCTGTGTTTTGGGGAAATCAGTATGTGCCCCAGAACCCAGCTCAAAGCTCTCTACCAGGCCATTATAGTTACTGCTACTGGGAGACTGGTGGTCACTGCCATGGTTTAGCTTCTGACATAGAACTGTGGGGTTTCCCTCTAGAACCTCAGTGCATTTGTCCACCACATGCCACATCTGGAGGAAGCTGGCTGCTGTTAAGTAACTAACAATTTCTGGAGCAGGCATCACAAGGCGTCCTGTGTAGCTAGAGAGGAGAATGTTCTCAAATACTCTTGGGTTCATCACATCAGGCAAAACAATTCTCCTACTGTTTTTCAGGAGTACTTGGTCACAAAAGTACGGTGAACTGGCAGCAAGAACAGCTTTGTGTGCCCGGAAAATGTGGCCTTGGACAACAATGGAGACATCACATAACTGTCCTTGTTGGCGCTGCTGGTTTAGTTTCTGCAGAATGGTGCTGGAAAAATCTGGAAACTCTACTCGAAAAGAGTTTGTTCCAGGCTCCATTTCATCACCAATCTTGTTTAGTGCTGCAAGAGAAAGAAAGGTTAGTGGTAATTCCATCCTCAAAGCAGCCCAGCACACCAAGACAAGTCCCAAGTTCCATCAAGTCCTCTAGCCTCTAGGCACTCAACCAAAGGAGCCATTCCTTGAGACAAGCTGAATAATGTGATTCTTCCTGTGTATAAATCCTTTAAGCAAAACAAAGTAACTATTTCTAATAAAAACAAACATGATTCATATCAAAACAAATGAAGGGGGAGGAGGAGGAACAACAGGAACATGGGAAGGACCAGGGGAGAAACAAAAAGACTATGGGTAGGGGTAGGAATATAGCTGTGGGGTGGGGAAAATAACATGTGTGCTTAGCTTGTATGTCTCTGGGTTCCATCTCCACGAGCACTCCAAAAGGAAAGAAAAGAAAAGATTCTTAAGATAGAAATGGCCAGGTCACAGCCTATGAGCACAAGGACAAATGTTTGGTTCCCTTGAACCCAAGTAAAAGGATGGGTATGGCTGATAGCTGTGACCCTAACACCTCAGGGTGGAGATTTGAAGATGACCCCACCCAGCTTGTGGGACAGTCAATTTAGCCAATCAGTTGGCCCCAAATTCATGGAGCCCCTGTTTCAAGAAATAAGGCAGAGGACAAAAAAGGATGATCCGAGGCTTCCACGGACAACCATGCACATGTGCACACATGCATACCCACGTGCATACACACGAACACAAAGAGCTACAACTGGTCTCAAATTCAGGGGAGAACCTAGAGAAATGGCTCTGAAAACAGAATCAAGGAAATTATACAATTGGTCTGTTAGCTGAGTCCTACAGATCACTCTTGAGGTCATGGAGATAGATTAGCTCCTTCAGGACTTCTGACGTTTTGAGCACAGCAAGGTTCTCTATCTGGTTGTCTCCCCATACAGCTGGATGACACACTTATAGATCTACTAGGTGATAGCTATTGTCCCTGACAATAGACTTAGAAAATATTAAGAATGGTCTATGCTGCTGCTGGGAACATCCTGGACACTGCATGAGATAGTTCCCCACAAGACAGGGTCCATTAGAGGTCCTGCAGGTTCCCTGATTCTGCAGTTTATCAAAGTATACAGAACACCTAGAGCAGGGCCTAGGGGAGGATGGCTCAACATGGGAAGTGCTTCCCTGCACCCATGTAACACTCAGCAGCCTGCCTGTAATCCTAGTAGAGATGGATTCCTGGAGCAAGCTGGCTGGACTGGCCTAATTAGTGAGTTCTGGGCTAAGTGAGAGAATGTGGCTCAATACACTAGTGAGAGTGACCAAATAAGACAGACATCAGTTGCTGGCTTCCACCATGTGCACACTACACACAAATGAGCAAACATGCATATACATATGCATACACTTGCCCCAAAGACACACAGAAAACATATACAGCATTTTTCATTGCCCTGTGTCACTTTGCTCTGATACTAGAAAGCAATCATCAATAAACACCAAGCTTTCTAAGTAACAGATAAAGAGCTGGACAGATCAAACAAAGATCCAGTCACTCTTCTTTGTTAAAATTTAATTTATATGTTTAGTTTATGTGTGTTAGGAAGGGTCTTATGTGTTAGCGTGAATGAAGACCAGAGGTCAACATTAGTCTATGTCTCAGAGGACTCCATGTTGTGATTTTAGGACAAACTCAGGATGGCTGGCCACCCCAGCTGCAGAGATCACCTGTCTTCCTCTCCAGTGCTGGGATTACAAGCAAATACCACCAATTCCCACTTTTTATTTAGGTGCTGATCCTCATGTTTGCTGGGCAGTTTACCATTTAAGCCATCTATTACAGTAGTTCTTAAAAGTCTTCCTTATAATTCTTGCATCATCCTTCAATTCCTCAGAAATCACTCTTGAATGACAAGAGAGATGACAAATGAAGAAACTGAGGTGTTCTTAATAATCACTCTGTGTAGACAGGTGGTGATGGTACATGTCTTCAATCCCAGCACTTGGGAGGCACAGGCAAATGGATTTCTGTGAGTTCAAGGCCAACCTGGTCTACAAAGTGAGTTCCAGGCCAATCAGGACTATTAATTACACAAAGAAGCCCTATCTAAAAAACAAACAAAAAATAATTACTATGTGTCAAATGTGGCATACCATTTTCCATGTGTTTTTGTTTTAATTGTTTTGAGACAAGGTCTCTCTCTCTCTCTCTCCCTCTCATCCCCCTCCCACCACCCCCCCCCAACCTGGAACTATGTAGATCAGCAGGCCTCTGCCTCCTAAGTGCTGAGATTAAAGGATTAAAGGCTCCTGCCTCTACTTCTTGAGTGCTGGTACTAAAGGTGAACACCACCACACCTGGCTTTCCCTTTCTTCCTCTTCTCCCAGAGCTGGCTTTGTGCTAGATGAATGGGCTGTCGCTGAGCTCCAGGCCAGTCCCCCACTCAAGTATTCAGCAAATGCAGGGCTCAATGTTCTTAAATTCAGTTATTTTAAGCAACTTTCCTAAAGTTAAAAGCTTGTTCTAACTAAGTAGAGAGCTGAATCGAGGTCAGCGTTAACTCCAAAGCCTTATGGGGTTTCCCCATAGGCTTTTCACAGCACCCTGACTCCTCCAAGGAAACCAGAATGCTAGACCAGTCATTAATAATCTTTAGTTAAGGCAGTACTTTTTGAAGAAGGCATTAATTTATGGTTTTATACATCCTAAAACATTTTATAAACATAAAATGAAAATAGAGCATAAAATAAACTGTTTAGTATGTGTTAAGGTTCCCCCCCCCTCTTTTTCAAGATAGGGTTTCTCTGTGTAACCCTCTATAGACAGGCTGCCTCTGCCAGAACCACCCAGCAGGTGTTCTAGTTTGTAAAAGAAACACAGACCTTGCATTTGCATGGTGGAAGATGAATGTCTATGTAAATTCAGAGCCGGAGCCTGGGCTGAGGGCATCTGGGTGGAGAGCTTCTAGGTATTTCTTGCCAAAGTAGAATTTTGGTTTGAAAGGGGGAGAACAGTGCTAGACTAGAAATCAGGAGTTGAGTATTACAATTGCTGTGCTGTGCTGTGAATGAGCAATTGATGCTTGAGGACAGACTTCTCAACATCAGCTCTGGACTCCTATCCTCCCACCTCCCATTTCCCTGACAACACATGGACTTTTAATCCAACTGGGCTTGCCAGATCACCCTCCAGGAAAGCTGATAGATACACTTTAAGGAGACAGGAGTACTTATCCCCATACTGAGATAATATATAGGACAGAAGTTTCTCTCTCAATGCAGCCACAGCTTGCAGAAATTCAAACGGCCTGCCTGCTCTCTACTTCCCTATCTCTTACCACCACTGGCCCATATCCAAAGCATGCTTGCCCTGATCCTGAGCTTCCTTATCTTATTTTTGAAGATACCTCACTTCACACAAGCGCTTGCTGGTCTCCATCGCAGAGCCCGACTGCCATCTTCACCTCTTTCTCTTACTCATCTGCCTCCTCCCAGTAGGCTCCAAGACCCAGTGTGCCTGTCCTTCCTCTCTAATAAAATGTTCCTCAGGCTTCCTGGATTGTCCTAAAATCTACAAAAGGGACTGGGATTCCTGGCAAATGGCAGCAGTGTTGGTTGCACAACTCAGAGTCAATTAAAAGCTGGACACAGAGGTGACACCTATTAACTCAGCATGGAAACCTAGGTAGGACAACTGTGAGTTTGAGCCCATTTAGTTTATGTAGCGAGACTGCCTCAGATAATCAAGTTAACTGAAGATCACATTTCACCACAAAGGGGGGAAAAAAAATAACTAGAAAACATGCCATGCTTGTTTAGCTGTGTCAAGGTGGTAACTGTCCTTGTCTTAGGGTGGATGTGGCCTTGCTCCATAATCTCTGAATTTCTAAACAGACTCAGAAGTGGCTGTGACCTGTTTAGACTAAAGTGGCTGTTTCAATTGGCTAAAATCCCAGCACTTGGAAGGCAGGCCTGCGCCGTCACCTGGCAGAATGCACCCTGACCAGCCCAGGGTCCTATGGCTGCTATGTTACTACAGTCTGCAAGCAGGTGCAAAGGTTTCTTTAAGAGGCAAACTGCACCCACCTCCCCCTCTGTTTTCAACATCTGAGGAAGGAGACAGATCTCTGTTCTGTACCCCCCTCCTTTATTTCTTCTCTCTCCCTTCCCTATAAAACTTCCTTCCTTTCCATGTAAGTTCTGCCTGATGGCATGTTTGTCCTCCACCATGGGATCCGCCAAGGTGCAGGCTAGAGGATCTCTGTGAATTCAAGGCCAGCCTGGGCTACATAGTAAGTTCCAGGAGAACATCAAGAAACATTACCCTTCTTTTTTTGTTTTCTGAGATAAGAGTTTTTCTGTGTAGCCGTGGCTAACCTCAAACTCACAGAGTTCTGCCTTCTTAATTAAATCATCACCTGGAGATAGGGTCTCTCTGTAGCTTTTGGAGCCTGTCCTGGCACTCTACAATCAGGCTGGCCTCAAACTCAGAGATCTGCCTGTCTCTGCCTCCTGAGTGCTGGGATTAAAGGCATGCGCCACCACCACCCAGGAACACTGCCATTCTTACATGGGGTTTATAATTTGTCAGAGGGAACAAACATGTTCAGCATGGCATTCAAGCAAAGGCCATAAGAAGAACCCAGAGTGGGGTAGCATGTAGTCACAAGGTCCTATCACCTTTTAATTTGGAGACAGGTTCTCATATATCATGTTTTTTATGGAAATAATCCAAGTGATATGAAAAATGTGCTGAATTCCAAGATCTTAGAGAATGGTGCCAACTGTGAGCCACAGGCTTTTTAAAGTCAGAGTTAAATTGGATGCAGTGGCACATGCCTTTAATCCCAGCACTTGGGAGGCAAAGGCAGGCAGAGCTCTGTGAGTTCAAGGCCAGAGTTGAGTGCCAGGAGAGAAACCTTGTCTTGAAAAAATGAGAGAGTGAGAGAGAGTGAGAGAGAGTGAGAGAGAGAGAGAGAGAGAGAGGGAGGGAGAGGGAGAGAGGGAGAGGGAGAGAGGGAGAGAGAGAGAGAGAGCGCTTCTG